AAAAAAAAAAAAAAAAAAAAAAAAGACAAACACACAAACACGCAAACTATGTGCGTGTGTGGCACGGTTCCTTGGTCCCAGATGTACTTAAATCTGAAGATGTACTAGTAGAACAAAGCCCATGCAATGGGTGTCGTCAATGGAATACGTTAAGATCCTTGCACCAAAGGCAGACAGAGGGGACAAATCAGGCAGGAGGGCGCGAGAGCTACGCAGCATAGAAGACCCAGCTGGCTTACCGAAGTTATCCACACCGTCGGGTGAAACAACTTCGTATCGGTAGAGAGCCATAGAAAGAACGACCAGCAGCAGAAGAGAAAGCCCCCCCTTTCCTTTCCTTTCCTTTCCTTTCCTTTTCTTTACACTTGTATATAAGCGACATGTCACCGCGTCCTACACTACGGTAGCTGTTGTCGACCGTGGTCCCTCTCACTGTTCTTCAGTGAGCTGCCATTGTGATGAATCTCGAGCAAGGATGAGGGAAGATATGCAAGCTACTTGATCCCACATGGCCAACCGGGTTCGGTTGTTACTCGTAAAATGCAGCAATACCTGACAGTGTCATGGTCTGCAAGCCAGTCATCAACACCGACTCCCCTACAAACCCAACCCAACACCCGCACGCTCTGCCTTGCCTTGTTTTGCCAACCCTGCCAGACAGCCGGCCAGGCTGCCTGGGTGCTTGCCCTCCTTCCCTGCCTCTATGTTCCCTGCATCCGACGCTACAGTAGTACTACGCCAAGCCCGCTTACCGACAAGGGGAGGGAGAGGTTTGACGGGAAAAATTGTAAGAAGACGGTGACAAAATTTGGACCATTTCTCGATTTATGCGTGTCATCCTTGAAAGCGCAGGGGCCATGCTAATCTTCTCTCTCTGTATCGTTCCAATTTTAACGGATGTCCCGAAGGACGGTGACAAATTTTCGCCCAGAGCGCCCTCCGCTGCTCCCAATGATTGACTGGAGAACGAACTGGTACTGGTACTGGTACTGGTACTGATTCAAATTGGCAGCCACGTTGTGCGGGACACAGAAGAGGCGACTTCCCGACTTCCCCCATCAAGAACAACGACGACGAGAGGCGTTACCGAGAGAGAACAGGCATGTCAACTCCTCCCGCGACCACCAGCTGGGCACGCAGTGAGTGATAGCATAGACGAGCCCACGTAAGGAAAGAAGAAAGAAAAAAGAGGGCACGTGATAACGGAACGGATAGGAGGAGGACGTGGAGAGGAGGAGACAGACAGATGGGGGGAACGAACCACAGGCAAAAATTGCGAAGACCGACAGAGAGCAGATATCATGGGCGGAAGGGAAGAGGCTGCAGCAGAGCTACGAAGTTACAACGGAGTTATGGGGGCGATGGTTCGGCATATATATATATATATCGTCACAAACACATATATATATATAGTTATGGGGGCGATGGTTCGGCGGCATATATATATACGTATGGGGGCGATGGTTCGGCATATATATATATATAGACGATATATATATATATATATGAGATACGGAGGTGATGGACACTGGTAATGCGAACGAGGACCAGGACGGGGATAGCGGAGATGCAAACTGCGACCTTTTTTTTTTGTTCTCTTTTTTTTTTTTTTTTTTAACTGCTTCATTCTTTATGGGTTCAAAAAGAAAAAGGAAGTGGTTGAATTCAGACGTAGCTGGGTCTGGATACACTTGCAGGCTACATTGCTCGAAGAGCTGGGTTGCGAATTGCTATGCCTCATGTGAACTCCGGCGCATGCACTGAATTCTGCTTTCTCTCTTCCACATTCCAAACTTTCTGAGGGCATACTTACAGTCTTACACGAGGACTCTTTCGACTCAGCTGTGGACGTGATTGCAGTCAGGTGCATCCTCGTCCAACCGTGATTGCTCTCAGAAAGTGCTCGTGCGAGTATAACGTAAGTCCACAAACCCAAGGACCATTTTAGGATGTATGAAGAGCCCGCTGCTCAACAGGAAAGACAAAAAACCGCAATCGCCGATGTACAATCTTATGGGGGATGACGGCCATGTGTACTGGGACGCTGACCCCATTGTCAGCACAGCAGGGGACTGAATAGATGGAGCCCCAAACATCCAACAAGCAAGACAAGAAGGGCCTCGCTCCACTACTCACCACATGAAGACAAAAAATATGGTGGTGTCATTCTATGTTCTCGCAGACGATGCGTTCTCATTTTGCACAGTTGGTGAGCAGTGCAGCCAGGCCAGAAGTTTGCAGAAAACTTCTCAGGGGACACTCGAAACCACGATCGGTGATCATTCCGGAGATGGCTCCATTGGCACCTTCGGCCAGGCATGGATGCGCAGAGGAGGACCTATGGCACTCCTTGCTGGGTGGGTGGACTCCGCTGCGGGATATGAAGGCCAAGCTCTATGGTCTACGAAGGGTGGAGGAACATCTGCGGATCATTCGCGAGGCCATTCCGCATGTCTGGAAAGATCTGCTGGGCCCCGAGGGAGTCCACCCCCGGCACCTCGTACTATGCTGAAGAAGAGCAGAAGCCTGACGTGGTATGGAAAGTACTAGAGGTGTTGGAGTCTGACGGACCCGCCGGGATGGCGGTCCGTCAAGATCRA